CCCCAAAACCCCAAAACCCCAAAACCCCAAAACCCCTTAAGGTGAATATCAAAATTGATAGTCATTAAAAAAAGAATAGTGTTATTATTTACAAATTATTTCCAACAAATAAAAATGTTCTATTAAAATCAAGTTGCTGCAGTAAAACTTACTGAATAAAATATTCAAGATAATACTGGAGTAAAGGAACATTCAACGGCATAATTATTCCATTGACCCACAGAATAATCACAAAAGTCAAAGCGAGTAGATTAGGTACATGTATTGAACCTAAACTAGCACTGTAAATCATTAGAAAAAGGAAGTTAGAAACATAAAAAGAATAAAAAATCTAAAAACTAAAAAGACATCTATTAAGCAAATAATTGGTAGGGAATTAAAGGTTAGAATTAAGAAGATGAACAAAACTAGAATAACTATAAGCTACCTTCTTATTCCAGTTGTCTTTAAGCTGAAATATATCCTTAGAACTATCAAAAACTTAGAGATTACTTTGAGGTAGCCATTAAAGATCAGAAGATTGCTGATCTTAATTTCAAGAATATGCTCAAATCTAGCAAATAAAAGCATAACATCAATACAAAACTAGAATCGCTATACAGATCTGATAAAGGTTACAATAATAGTACCTCTTCAAGATAAAACTAAATTTACTATTTCAGCTCCAACATTAATGATAAATACAGATAACTTCTTTAAGATTAAAAACTTAAGTAACTTATGGATTAGTAGCAATTAAGAAGAAGTATTTAGCTTCATTAAAAAAATCTTTTGTAAATGAGATCTTATAATGATTAATAGCATGTAGATGGTTCAATTTCCCCTATAAAGGCAGTAAATCCTGAGTACCTAAATATTGACACAAATGAGAGAATTTAATAGATTTGAAATCCCATAAGAATGACTCACTCTAATTACTAAATTGCTTCATATAGAAATGATATTGGGGTTTTGAAAACAAAGGTTATTAATCCTTTTCCGACAGAGGATGAGATAAGATCATAGAAATTGTTAAATTAAAACTAGAAAATACACTTGTAAAGCAGCAAGTCATATTATTCTAATAATCAGAATTAGAAAACTTAGCAAAATATTGATAATTCTCAAATTGATAGACAAATACTTTTTACAAAGATTCAAAATCAGCTTAATAATTAGCAAAAGGAGTTAAATACTTCAGAGTTTACATTTCCCTAATCATCATAAAATCCTATGAAAACTTAAATAATAAATAGTGATATAAAAAGTAATTAAAAGAATAGAAAATAATAGCATAGGACTCGAAATAGGTCTCAAATTTAAAGTCATTATAGGAAAACAAGTGAATCATAAGGAAACTATAATGAGTTCCCGAATTCAATGCATAATCAAACCTTTTACCCTTAACATAGAAAAAATAGCTTAGTAATTGATCAATACTCTATTAGATAGCATGCCTAGTAAAATAATAGTGATGAAAAAGTCTATGAAAATAGATCGTTTTTGAACCCACCCTCACTTTAATCTTTTTAGATGAGAATTAAATCTAGATCATAATCAAGGCAAAACAAGCAATAAAGTATTATAGAACTCTTATCTAATATGAACTAATCTGAGCAAAACCTAATAAGTGATATTCAATCAATCAGAATAGACTCAAAGAAACTTAAAAATCAAGAACTGCATAAATCCTTTGAAATTGATTAGTAGTCGACTGGAAAACAAAATAGTTCTGTAATCATAGGATAACAAAAATAATAAATTCATCATCAACAGATTTCTATGTTTGAGTTAAAGCCTTAAGACATGCTAACGTCTTCAACTGGAGCTATTTCTAATAAAATAAAAGTTTTTAATAGTAGACCCCAGAGTCAAGCGATGAAAGACTATAAGCCCATATTTTTACAAAGAAGGAATAGAACTTAGAATAAAAATTCTAATGGAAGCCATCCACATATTATAAGGATTCAAGATGTCACAGAACTTGATGATAGGAGCTACAGAGCTACAAGCACATTTAATTCAGAGAAAAAAGGGGTAAATAGAGCTAGGAAAGATGGGCTGATTTCTCGTAAATCAGACACTGATAATTCAGATATGAATCACATTCTCAACGAGACCACAATTTAATCTAACAAGGATTGAAATTCACTCAAGATGATTTTTTTATTCTAAGTGTTTTTAATAGGCTTATAGACCTATTGAAATGAATAATGTTGATTTCTTGATAAATAGCCATATCCAATCAAAGGGGTTTTGGGGTTTTGGGGTTTTGGGG